GCATCTCTATTACAATTTTACCTGGTCCAGCTGCTTTGTTCCTTTTCATCTTAGCTATTGCTGATCTCAACTCAGATTTTAATATTAGGGGTTCTTCCATGTTTCTCTCCTCTGTTGTCATGGAAGCACCATCTGATATGTTCATTACATCTCTGTATTAACTTTTTCTCTTTCATGTTCCCTCTTTGTAATCTGCAAAAGAGCATGTTTTCTGTCCTGCTGTTTCTTCAATTTTTTCATGCATAACTGCTACATCTGTGTTCTGCAGTTTTTTGATTTCTTCACATTTCTCATTAGTGCATTTCCAAGACTTAATAAAACCTTGTGACTTTGCAAAGAGACACACGACAGGATTGAGAATCTGCTACAAATATTTTTGGGTTCCTGACATTTCTGAAAAAGTGTTAATGCTTACAGTTTTTGCACATATGGCACAACTTGTTTTCAAAAGAAAGCAAACCCTATTAAAGGAGTGATTGTGTTTATGAGGCATGGTATCAAGCATTTATGACATTTGCCAAACTAATTTTGAACTTCTCTCTTTCTTTTATTTTTATTTATTTTAAGATCTTATACATAGGTAAATTCTTCATCCAATAATTTCAATAAATAAATTCTCTGCTATGGAGGAAAAAGTTAACAGAGCTATGAAGAACAAACTCATTATCAATAGATTACAACATATCAGGTCATCCCATAAGTTCTGTCCGAATTTTAACTTTTTGTTAAAATGAACGAAATTTAAAGAGTATTTTATAATATCTAATGCAGCTGAACATTATTTTTATGTTTAGATGCATTTAAACTGATCAAATTTTATTTCAGAGAATAATAAAATTAAATTTTGTTTGATTAAAACCCTGCTAACATGAAAGTACCCAAGAATCATTTGAGGCACATAATGCGTTATGAGTTCAAGAAAGGAAACTCAGCAGCTGAAGCAGCTAGAAACATTCACTCAGTTTATGGAGAGGAATGTGTGAATGAAAGAACTTGCAGAAGATGGTTTGCAAAATTCAGAGAAATCAACTGATAAAGCAGGATTTTCTTCAAGGGCTGCTTCAAGATGCTTTTCATCAAACTCAACTGGACGTCTGGTTCGATCTTCATCTTCAATGGTGAAATCTTCACCTCTGAATTTTGCAAACCATCTTCTGCAAGTTCTTTCATTCACACATTCCTCTCCATAAACTGAGTGAATGTTTCTAGCTGCTTCGGCTGCTGAGTTTCTTCTTTCAATCTGGTGGGATCGCCAAGGAATAATCCACTTTGAATTCTTACCACCTAATGCAATAATTAATGATCAAATATACTGTCAGCAATTAGAGCGTTTGAACCAAGCTTTGAGGAAAAAAAGACCTGCTCTAGTGAATTGAAAAGGGGTGATGTTTCATCAGGACAATGCGCAACCACACACAACAAGAATCACGTCACAAAAGATCGAAGAACTTGGTTGGGAGAAAATTCCTCATCCACATCTTGCTCCTTCACACTACCATTTGTTTCGTAGCTTACAGAATCATTTGGAAGAAACAGCTTTTGTAACACAGGAAGAGGTTAAAACTGACATTTGTGAGTTCTTTGAATCAAAGCCAAAAGAATTTTACAGTAATGGAATTAGTAAGCTTGTTAATAGATGGAAGGAAGTCATAGATAATCAGGGAAAATACATTGTTGATTGAATCTGTAATTAAATGTAACATTTGGTCATGTGTTTTCTTTATTCAAAATTCGGACAGAACTTATGGGATGACCTGATATATACCAAAATGGCTCCCTTTAAGAAATGTTTGCAATAATTCACAGCCATTTTTCATTGAGTTTTTTTTTTTTCAGTTTCTTGGAAATTTACAGATCAACTTGTTTTCATTGTATTTTCCTGTAGAATTATTTATCTTCTGTCTGGCATTTTAAAATTTTTTGAATTGGAAGATGTTAGTTTTCTCGAATTCTCGTTTTTGAGTAATGAAGATTGGAATACAATTTTTGTCTCTTTGAAAAACTAATTAAATATTGAGTGTGATGATGGGATTAATATTTTTATAATTTTATTTAAATCCAAAATAAGCTAATTTGTAATATGCTTCCCATTCATGCTTTCACAATATGCATCTACAGTGAAAATCATTTGTAGTGATATGAACAGAATTAAAATAAAAGAAGTTTTTTTATTTATTTTCAAAAAATGTTAATATTGACTATTTTATTTAATGAATTATAAAAAAAATAACAGTGAAGTTTATTAAAAGAAATCTGAGAATGTGCTTTTTTTGTTATTCAGTAATATATAAAGCACAACTTTTTCAGATAATAAAATGTGGTTGTTGAACCACAGGCTGTATAATCCTTATAATACACAAGGATTATTATCATGACTGAAGGTGAGCAATCACAAAGCTTTTAATTTGCTATTGCCTTATGATCAGATTAACATTTCCCTAATCCTCGTGTCAGTCAGGAAGAAAAGCCAAAGTATGAATCCTCATTCTCTCACCTCATCACAAACATTCTTCATTTTTAATTATTTGTGAAAATAATCATATTGGCCATTTTATTCTTTAAAAGTTATCAGCTGGTTATCTTTTAAGATGTTTCTAAGCCATTGGACATCTTCAACATATACTGGGTGTGGTATAAATATATACTCATTTTTTAAACATAAAAATTTACCCATCATTTAAATTTAAATTGAAACATACCTAGTTGTAAAGTTTCAAATTTTGCATAAGGCTTCCTAACATTCTTTTCTTTTATTGTTTAGAGTTTAATTAAATATGGTTGCTCAAACAAAATATGATCAATTTGTCTTATTGAAAATGGCTGGTATGAATAATTCTGAGGTGATTAAATATTTGAATGTTTGCAGAAAATCTGTTTTTAATGTGTAGAAAAAGTTTCAAGATGAGCAAACAAGAAACCATTTAGTTTGCATTAGGAGAGTCATTGACGCCATCAAGAAGAGGGTGAAGAGAAATCTGCAAAGAAGTATGAGGAAGCTGGCAAAAGAGCTGGATATTTTGGATAGATTGATAAGGAGCATTTAAAGCTAAAATCATACAAGATTCAATGATTACAGCTGCTCTCAAGTGCCTCCAGGTAAAAACAGCTTGGCAGAGGGGGGGGATGTTGAAAGAGATGCAGCATGCCACAGAAAATGCCTTTGTTTGGTCTGGCAAGAAGTTTTTCAGTGTGCAGGCTATGGCCAACTACTAAATTGATAAGGATGGCATGTTGTTTAGTTGGTGTCATTAGAGTTTGTCCCAGAAGAATAATTTATTTCTTTATATTTGAATGTTTTCCTTTCTTTTTTTTTTTTTTTTTTTTTTTTTGTTAATTTTGTTCTTTCACATTCTGTACTGATCTCCATTTTGACAAAATATTAATTGTTCATTTTAAAAATAAATTGCTTTATTGTAAATATTTACTAAATATTATTTTGGTATGAGATTAAGACTGGAAGATTTTGTTGCATCAGTCTTCTAAGTGAGAAGAGTATTTGAAATCCTAGTTTTATACACTAGTCCAAACACTAACCACTGCTCCAATAGGAAATGTGCAACTATTTCAGCCACTTAGTCCAGCACAAGACCACATGAGTAGGGGGGAAACTGAATGAAGATTGCACTCATTACAATAAGGAAACAAGCTTTTGCTAAACACCATGATGTTTCTTTTATTATTATATATTTTTTCATGTATGTATTTATATACAACTTTTGGGGGTAAATGGGTGTATAATATATGCCTGCCTCAAGAGTTTTGGGTCATTCTTAGGCAAGAGGTTTTCTTTCTAGTATTTCAGAAAGACATTGTTTTAAAAACAATACTTGAAAAGTTATAAATTTAATGAAAAATATAATGTATTTGCAGAACTTGTTTGACCATTACATAAGTGTCATTGTGCCATAAAATTATAATCATAACTTGCTTTTGCATGTTCAAGCAATAGAATTTCAGGGATAAGAAAGAATTTAGATTATGTTCCCTCAAAGAACCAAAAATATTTCCTTTATTTATTATGGTGGAGGTGATTTTTTTTCTTTTGTAAATAAATGCTTTTTAGTTGTTGCTAGGAATCCTTACATGATCATTTTTCTTTGTGTCTCAATTTCTTAGTCAAACCAATACAAAAATATCCTCTATTGTAAAGACTTTAATTTGCAGTAATTCATTAGCTGAAATTAAATGCTTTATTTAAATTGGTTTGTCTGTTTGCTCATTGCTTTCAATGAAGGTGCTGGAGGTGATGGTGACTGGTTATTTGTTTATTTTTAAAAATATAAATCTTCAATTTTAGTTGGCTGGGTGGAGGGGTTAAGTTTGTGTATATGTCATTTCACCTTCATTCTTTCTCATCTGCTGCCATATTGTGATGTCAACAAAGTTATGATCAACATGACTGGAGATGGGACAATGTATGAGGAAAGTTGGAGTCATGCCTTCCCAAAAGTAACATGGAATGCAGATTTTCTTTTATGACAGTTTACTTTTTTACTTTTATTCCTTGATTCTTTGTGACAAATTTTTCTGGACATTTCAAATTTTTTTTCTCAACAACTTTCTTTTTTTAATTTTGCACTGGTAAAATGAAGAAGCCCAAATGCATGTCTGTTTATTATATCAAATCATTATTTGATTGAATGGTTGATTAAATGATCATAGTTGTGATCATTGTTATTGTAAGTCCCATGAGCCTTTCATTAACTATATACAATGTGATCCACCAGGACTACATATGGTTTTTGAATTCAGAGATGTCCTTCTCTTAGATTGATTGACAACCAAAGCTAGAGAGCTAGTCTTCCTTACCATTTAACCTATAGCTGGGGGGAAGAAGCGATAGATTCATACCTTTTCCAAAGGTATTTGTGTGAAGATAAAATGTAATGAAACTTGATTGAAATTCAAACTTGGTTCTTCAATTTCTTGTTCTGAGCCACCATCCATTAAACCCTCTGCATATCCTTTAATAACATTTTCTATTGAAAATTTGTTTTTAGGTGGTGAACGAAAACAGTGGTACAGATACAGTGACCAGGTAGGTTCCCGTAACCACTGGGTTGGTCAGTTGTTTGCTGGTCACAAGGAAGAAGTGCGCAGGGCAAAGGTAGCCTATGGTTTGCTCTCTCCATCACAATCACCCACTCATATTTCAGGTAAGAAAATCTTTTTATTTTCTCTACTTTTTATTATTTCAATTTTATTTTTTTGAAAAATTATAGGAATTTTATTACAATTTTCACAGTAGAAATACTTTTAAAATTCATACCTATTCTTGTATCAGAAACACCAACTTTCATCCCTAATTCACTATAAAATTGTGACCTCTTATTATGATCTTGACTCATGCTTTTACAAGGTATTTCAAACATTTTCAGCAATGAAAGAATAAAAAATTTTATTTTAAATTTTCAAGAGATACCATTGTATAAGACATTTTCTATTTTTGGAAAGAAAGAAATCCCAGGAAATAAAATGGGTGACAGGGTTGACTACCCAATTTTGCTGCATATTATGCCCATCCAGTATAAGAAATAAAATAATTTTGAAGCCTCCTTTTATATCCTTCAGTATATGACATAAAATACTTTTGAAGCCTTTTTTGTCTTCTAAAACACATAGTATGCAATGATAAACTCTTTTACCATAAAATGTTCATTTAATATCCTTAAGAATGTTAACAAAAATGTTCTTTTGGTAATTTTGTCCAATTAATTTAATGTGTAAATAATTGACTCTTATAAAATGCTTTTAGTTTTGAATCTATGAATGATAGTTGCATGTATATTCCTGATGTTTCTCTCCTAATCCAAAACTTATATTCAGATTTGCAAAATATAATTTAAATGTTTTTTTCTTTAGTCAGATGTAATAAAGGGCTATAATAAATTTAGTTCTTAAAACTGAATTTCTTTTTAAATTTAAATGCAATTTTAATCTTTTATTTTTTATCCATGGCATACAAATAAAAGTGGCACATTTTGTTGACTCCTTACTATTAATGGTTTTCACATGTGAATCTTTAAATATATTTTTCCCCTATTATAATTGATGTTCTCTGCTCTTTTATAGTCTATCTTTTCACCTCCTTTTTTCATAAACATTTTTTAGCAGTTTGCTATTGTCATAACAAAGACACTAGTTATCTCCCTTGCAGCGGCAATATTAAACGTTACCTAAATTACAGATAAAATATATACAACATATAAACTTGGTACTTTATATAAGACACTTCTTGTATTCCTTTTGTCTGAATGAAGAGAATTTTATCTTCTGCACGTGTAACAATCATAATAGATGGTTTGGGGTTATGATACACTAAACCCAAATATATTGTATAAATTATTATTTACTCAAATACCTTTCCAAATGTTTCTCTTCCTACAAGAAAAAAGACATTAAACTTGGGTAATGTTTATATACTAGGAAGCTGCCTTACCATTTGTATTATTTGTAATTTGTTATCAACAAGAATATGGAGCAAACCCACTTGATGCAGCTTAAACTAGAGTAAATAAACTTCCTGTATTACTATTATTGTTATTTCTATTTGCTATTTTAAAAATATTCTAATTTTCTGGAAATTCTTTCTATTTTAAAAACTGACCAAGCTTAATAAAATTTAAATGATATTTTTATCTTTTATAAATTTGTTTTTATTTGTTATATAAATGCTGCCTGGTGTCATAATTTTCTGTGATTATCTTTTTTCACCAGAACAAGCAGCCAATTCATCATCATCATCAACTTGCTCATCATCATCTTTATCATCAACATCAGGGGCCACTAGTAAATTACAGACATCCCCAACAGTATCAAATATAGGTGACAAAAGTCCTGGGTTTAACTCCAGTTCAACAATGCCCTCCCAGGGACGACCACCCACCTCTGGGAGTGGATCCAGCAGCGGCGCGGGTGGCCGAACCACATCACGTCTCTTGGAAAGTTGTATAGTGCTGGAAATTGAGGAATTTACAATTTACTGCATCTCCACTGCGGATCAGAAGAGAAACAATCCACACAAGTTCTTTTCCTCCGAGAAGAAGGTATTGCATTTGCCTCATGATATGCCAATTATTCACTTGGAGTACACGGAATACTACTTCCCAGAGGGAATCGACTTTCCAGGTAAGCATAGTCACACACACACACACATTTTCCACCTAGAGAACTGTCCAAATATTTTTGTTCACTTGAAAATACCCTTTGACAACAAATTGGTGTGATCATTTTTATGCTGGAAGTTATGTTAAATAAATCATTTTCAACCTTCATAAATTAAGCTTTCTCTAACAAAATACCCCAGTAAGTTTGCATATAAAATTTAATTAAAAAATCTCCTGATAAGTAAGTTTGTCTTGTTGCAGATGTAGAGAAAATGTAATTTTATGCATAAAATAAATTGCATTTTCTATCGAGATTAAATGAAAGCTTATACAATTGATACATACTAGCATTTTAATATAAAAGTTTAAATGTTTCAGAACTTGACAAAATTTGAATATATAGCATATAAGTAGAGTCTAAAGTATCTAATATTCTTTATTAATTTGATTTCCTTGGTAGCTTAGTTGTATAATTTCACTTAGTGTCAGCTCACTTAGCCTAGGTTAATTTTCATGATGGCTACTATTTTTGAAAATTCCCCTATCCTCAATCCTCTAGTCTTCCCCATTGGCTTAGGTAATATCTGGAAGTGTCTACTGTAGCCCACTCATTTGAAAGCTTGTATTGTAAATTATTTGCACATGTAGTAGGTGTTCCACAAATATGCCTAGTATCAGGATAAACCAATCGTAGTCCCGAGAGTAAAAATCTGTAATTTGTAATTTAACTTAGTGATTTGTTTCTTTTCTTTTATATAAAGAAACTTTATTATCACATTCTAACTTAGTACAAAGACAATAGATTAAAAATCAACATATTTTTTATTTGTAGACAGTCTATAAAAAGTATGTTACACTTAGAAATGTTTAATTGGCAAATAATGGTGTGTATGTGTATGTTTTTTTTTCTTTTTCACAGTACCCCATGCTAATCTGTATGCCCTGGTGAACCCTGTACAGCTGCGAATTGACTACCTCACACTTCTTTGGGTCAACTATTTCTTGTTACAATTATCCAAAAATTTGGTATGTATTCTCTTACCTACATTTTATTTTATTTATTTCTTGTATTAAGAAGTGGTTTTTTAGTGTATTTTGTACAAAATTATAAAGAAAAATACTGTGTGTGTTTGTTTGTGTGTTTGATAGATGAATATAAATAAAAGTTGTGATCATTGTTTTGTAAAAGCAGTGGAGCCTTCTCATCAGCTTCAATTTCAAATTATGTACAAAATATGAAAAATAATTTCTGTAGATTTCTATGCAATTTAATTATTGAATGTTTCGTGATAGAATTAAAAATTTTCTATAATCTGTTACACAGATATTTATCTCAATGCTTACCCTTGAAGAAATGTGAAAAAATTTTTTAGTTTATTTTCCTTAAGAGGGTTAACAAAAATTTTCTTTTGGTTATTCTTTTTTCAATTAATTTAATGTGTAAATATTTGACTCATATACAATTAATGGGAGAAAAAAATACTGTTAGTTTTGCATCTGTGAATGATAGTAGTATATATATAAGTGATGTTTCTCTATTAGTCCAAAACTTTATTCAGATTTACAAAACTTAATTTAAATGTTATTTTTCTTTAGTCAGATTTAATAAATGGCTATAATAAATTCAATTCTTAAAATTGAATTTGTTTTTAAATTTAAATGCAGTTTTTATCTTATTTTTTATCTAAGCTATTTCCATGGAAAAAGTTAAAACTAGCGACATTCCTTAAGTTCCCTCATCTTAACTGGGAGTCTTAACTGGGAGGGTTACCTCCCAGTTAAGACTCACTACACCATGTACATTGAGGCAAATCACTCTCATTCCTTTTGCATTTCATGAGAAAATTCCACTCAGATAGCTTCTTCCCAAGAACTGTTGCCATTTGGAACAGAAACTGAAGAGGATGCTTTCTTGGCCACTACAATCTAGAGTTAACACTTTATCTTTCCCATATATACACACATAAACTGCATTCCTTACTATTACTGCCCACACAAGAATCACATTCTGTAACCCTCTAAGTTGAGTGACCCTTGGGCCTTGTATAGGGTGAACATTAGTGTTAAAAAAGAAAAAAAAGATTTTCATAAGCCAATCATTGACAATTTTTCTATTGTCATTTACTGAAGAAATGGACTTTTTCCTCTTTTCTTATGGACCATATGAAAGCTGAAGATTAGATTGGCTGAAATGTGGTAACATCAAAATGAAAAACACAAAGAAAGAATTCATTTGTCTAAAGTCTAAACAAATTTTACAATGTTCATGACTTTTCTCAAAATTAAAAGATGTTCATAGATGTTGTTCTTATTTTACAGAAAGAAGGTGCTGATGGCCCCAGAGAACATGTGGACATCAAATTTGAAGCTTTAATGCCAAAGGTAAGTTGATTCTCTGGTACAATTTAATTTGAATTAGTTTAATGAGTGAATGGAAAAGATGACCACACCTTGGCATTGGTTTGCTGGGAGGAGTTTTCGATATTGCATTTTTAATTTTTTTTTTTTAATCAACAATCAATTTTTAATAATCTGTGAGCAAATATGAAAAAAAATATTTTTTTTTTTGAATATTTCAATTTGTGGGTTCAGTTTAGCAGTAGAGCAAATATTAAAGGTGGAAAGATGGTATCTTTAGTTACCAGGATGGAAAATAGAATTAACAAATTCCAGCTGAGGCTGTTTGTAGCCAAGAGAAAGGCATGAATAAATTTCTCCCTGAACTTGGTCACATTGCTTGATATCTTAACAAATATGTCTTGTTATTAAGATGATATTGTATCATGTCAATAACATGAAAAAGTGAGTGAGCACTTCAGCAAATCAAGTGGTTGTAAGAAAATGAGAAACTGGAAAGCTTAGTTTGAGTTCTATTACTTATATGGAAACACCCTTGGGAAAGGTATGAATTCATCTCTCCCCTAGCTAGAGGTTAAATAGTAGAACTTGTATCTGACAAAATCATTCTTCTCAAAAAATTATTAATGCAATATTCACTTGCAAAAAACGAATTATTCTTACAGTCCAAAATGTTTTGGCTTTAAATAACTCAGAAAAGGTTGATAAACCATAAAAAAAACAAAACAAATCAGTTTTCTCTTAACCCATTAATGCCCAATGAAAAATTCAGTTTTAATTATAAAGATTAAATTGAAAGTCTGGTATTAATTATATGTTAATATTCATTAATGCCCACTCTCCACAAAATTAATGGCTTATCGATCTTCAAACATTACATCTATTGTCAGCCTTGACAGGTTCTGTTCATAGCTAAGAATAGACTGAAAGTTCTATCTTAGGTGGTAGGATAGTAAAGAGATTAAAATAAAAATGTAAGTTTGCATCTCTACTGTTAAAATGCTCAGTTTGGTATGATTTAAAATGAATTCTTTTCTTTGTAGGCCATCTGGTCAGACTGAATTGGACATCACTTCTCCACCAGTTACAAAACTTGATTTATTATATGCAGTCTGTTTGGTGGGCCTAATGATAATAAGTTTGCCTTTGGCACCAATATCCAAAATCTGAATTGTTATTGAGGAAACCATTTGGACATATAAGAATATGTGGGCACCAGGTAGCTTAACCAGTTAGTCTTCTGCAGACCACAACATTTGTGGTATATAGTTCTTTATTAAGTTCAGTTTAGTTTTGCATGTAGTCACAACTATTTGGTACCTAATGGGGATTGAACTTAGTATTCCATCATAATAATTTTCAAGACCAATTAGCCAACTATTATCTCATGGCAAAGCATCTATAACTTTTGCACTGTTATGTACTGAGTGATGATATGAGGAAAAAGGTGTTGGAACAAGAAGTGAATGAAAGTTCATAACAATTATTGTTTTAAATTATTTAAAACTTTGGGATGAAGTACTTCATGAATTTTTAACCATTTTTTCCATCTTATTGTTGTCAAATGCCATTTTACAGTTAAAGCAAGTAATATGAGGTTAGAAATAAGTAAGTAGTTTCTGATGAGATATGTATTTGCATCTCGTATTCCAGGAGCTCATCTTCTATAGATGATACCTTCACTAATTGAACTCTAGAAGCCTCTGGCTAGATATAGCACAAATATACAACCATATTGTCAGCTCTCTACTGAAATGTTAATGCCATGTTGGGTTGTTTTGTTTAAACAACGTAATAACACTTAAATTATTATTCATTATTGATTAGTTTTTTTTTATTAATCTTATTGCAACAGCTGTTTATATTTCTGAGATGAGGTATTGTAACTATTTACACTATTTACAATGGAGTGTACAATGGCCAAAAACATTGTGAATGTGACAATAAAGATGAGGACAACAAACAGAACAATGTAAATAGTGTAATCTTATTGCTTTTATCACAATGTTCTAGATTAATAAGCTTTCAGTTGTATCATGTTGAAACACTGGTTCTCATACTTAAGTTAAGCAATGTTGAGCCTGGTCTGTATTACTTGGAATTATGTGGTGCTGTAAGTTCAGATGTATGGGTGGTACATTGGATAACTGCTTGGAACTGGTAATCAGTGAGCAAAGTTCCAATTCTACTTGGGTTTGTTATATTCACTTACATGTAAATACTCTTGGCAAATGTATAATCTACCTCTTTTCCCCAAGCTTTGGAGTAATTAGTAGAATTTATATAAGTCATTATTATCTTCCAAAAAGATTTTACAATCTTGTGAGGGGTTTACAGAGAGGGAACAAGAGGTGCCTATCATCAGAATAGGTAGGATAGATAACATTTGGATCTAGAATTGAAGAGGTTTAGCTTGTAATGATTGTGGAAGCATCTTTTGGGGTGGGGTGTAGCAGTTCTGGGAGGAAACTGCCTGAGAGGAACTTCCTCTTCATCAATGGAATATGAAGAGAATGAGGATGAGTCAACTCAGTGCATGTGGGGGGGGGCTGGCTGTGAAGGTCTGAACTGGTGGAACCATGGAACATAGTTTGTCTGAACATCTATGAAATTGCAATATCTTCTAACCATTAATCAATAAATCTTTTTAAAGGTTAAATTTTTATGCTTATTTTTGCTTTACTTATATACAGAAACAATAAAAAGGATATTTTAACTCTTTTTAGATTATAAAAATAACAAAGTAGGAAATAATACAAGTGTTAGGTTTTTAAATTTAATATTTTTCACATATATACTCTTGATACAGTGATATGTGATATCTTTATCTTCTTTGTCAAGTATGATCTTCAAACATTGAAATGCACTGTCAATTGCCATATGTCTTGAATCTTGTTCTTTTTATCGTCTTTTCTACTCAATAAAGTTTTCAGGGTTTTTTTTCTCATTCTCAATAACTTCCTATGTCTTATTGCCTGGTTTGTAGTGAGATTAAAAAAAAAAAATTGAATTTTCAGTGCATTTATTAAAAAGCCTTTATTTTTTTCTTAACTCAAAAACCTTTGATTTGTTTTCAATTATTTATTACAGATACTCATCCATGCTGAGAGTGGCTCACATCATCACTCATCAGAGCGTCCAGATACATTACTGATCCAGATGTCAAAGATTTCAGCCACCAACAATCGAGCTGAACCTCATGCATCCAGGGACAAGTTACTCTCTGTTCTGAATGAGCAGAGTAAAAGCCATTTGTACAAGTCATCAGAATTCCCGATGGATGACAATGTGAAAGCTGTGTGTCCCCAGCAGGTGTGTGCCCATGCATTGAGCAAGGACTCTATTGATGCATACATTGATCCGGAAATCAAGAGGATCCTGACTAACTACAAGTCCCATTTGCCACAGACTGACTACATTCCAGCTTTTCCCATCGGGTCCAGTGGAGAGAGGCTGAAGCTGAGGACAAACAGCCTCAAACTGGATTCTGCCTACGATGTGTGGAACATGGATATTGACCAAATCTGGATGGATTTTACCACTCGCAGATCTCGCCCAGTTCCATTTGTAGAGTCTTTTCCAGTGACGCTATGGTTTTGGCGGACACTTCCATCATGCAGAAACAAAGCAAGTACAGGAACCCAAAAAGATGTCATTAAGAATGGTGATGTCACCAGAGAGAGATCATCTTCACAAGAAAGCAGCAGCTCCGATCATGGTAAAAAAATTGATGATGACTTTTCCCTTTCATCACCGCATTCATCCACATTATCTTCCAAGTTGCATGATCGGAGTGAATCTCCCCCAGTTGTGGACTCCCACTCTAGATCATCAAGTTGTGATAGGGGCCCGTCATCAAGTGGCCCTACACAATCGTCTGCACCTCGCTGTGTTCTCAGTGGCAAACGAGACCATATGGACATTTATGCAGTTGCCTGTGTACGGACTAAAGTGCAGGTTTTGTTGACACACTATCAGTACCTGTTTATTCTGAGGCTTTTGGAATCCCTGTCAACTTTTCAAAAGCAGCTGAGTGCAGATACAGAGTATTTCTCTGGAAATTCGATCTCTTCGACTGTGTCTCTGACATCGATTGTGCATGATGTGGAAGTAGCTATGGTCTTTCAGAAACCTTCAGACTCAAACAATCACAGTGGAAATGTAACAGGGGGACTTAGTGGGACAATCAAGGGAAGCATTGCAGAATTGCCTACAATAGACAAAGATTCGGCTATGGAAGGTTGGAACAATGGTAAGTCATACTGACAAGTCCACTTTTTAATTCAAATTTATTGTCTTTTAAAATATATTTTTATCCATTCTTTTTGTGTTTTTATTTGCCTATTTTCTTAAAACCTTATTTATGCAAAGTCTTGGACATATGTGTAGAATATGGAGAGAGAAATAATCTGCACACAATCTGTATGTTTCATTTGATATACTCACTTATTTATCTATTGTATAACACTACCTACTCTTTTCCCAACCAAAATAAGTTGAATTGTCATAAGTTATTTTACTAACCATGGATTCCTAAATTATTTTATTGGGATGGAAAAAACAAACTATCACATATTTTATATTGAAGCTACCCAATTATATAAAAAAATTTTAATCTCCAGTCATTCATGTTTTGTTTTCTTTCTTTTTTTTTTTTTTTTTTCACCCACTTCATCATTTCAGCTGAAAGTGACAATTATGATGACTCTGTTGGTTTGATTTCAAAGTCCTACAGTGATTCTCGGCTGAATTTGTCCAAACAGGAAATCATGAATGGAGAGCTTCAAATTCAGTCAGCCCAAATGGAAACCATTCACACCTCTGACCTTTCTCTGGAAAGTAATAATCAAATGGGTGTGACCCTCAACTGCACCGATATTTCCTCATCCACCCAGTCTCTGAGCCACAGTATTGCATACAGTGCTGCTTCGGATACTGTCTATTCAACAAGTTCTGGTGTCAGCTCTGATACAAAATCAGTTGGAGGCTACCTTGGCCTGAGAAAAGGTAGTATTAAAATGGAAAAGAAAAAAACACTCTCTTCTGCTTGGTCCAACTTCACTGACAAACTAAGGTCAATGGGAGAACTGAATGATGATTCCCTTTTTGGCTCTGAAGACTCAGAACCTGGCCAAACTGATTATTCTTCTGATGATGAATCATTTGAACATCTCTCATTAGAAGATGCTGAAGAAACACCTGCATTTGAACGCAAACGCAATCTGGATCCACAGGGATCATTTGATAGCATGAGTCATGATAGCAGCTCAGAGACTTTATCCACAGCCCGCGAGAAATTGCAGGTAACCTCTTTATTTCTCTCTTTCTCCCTATCTCTCTCTGTATAGTGGAACCTAAAAGGTAGTCATGAGATTGCTAAACTCTTAGATATATGTTTCTTGTGAATAACAACTGGTGAAAGTTTTAACAGCTGCTGAATGTCAGGTTGTCGTCCTTTTAAGAAATTTAATTTTTGGTTTTAGTATAAAAAAATATTTTAATTTTTAATATTCTTTCATTTGAAGTTAAAAGAATGACACCAAATTGATTTAATTTTCTTTTTTTTTTTTTTTTAATATCAATTTGTTGATTTCTTATAAACTAAGTAAAAATATCATTAGATTTGATTATTAAAATATAAAATGCAATTAAAAATCATAAATTTTTACCAGAGGAATTGAATAACTAAATCAACAGAAGTATTTTTGGTAAAAGCTGTTTAAAAGATTAAAGAATGTTTAAAGAATTCTCTGGGTATAAAAGAAGAAAGATGTGTGTATTTGTATACTACTGAAATTAATGGCCTTTTTACTTTATGATAAAGGAATAAAATTGAGTTTGTTATTGTAAGTTTGGTTAAAGTCATTAATAATGAAAACAAAAGTTTGTGTCATTTCAAGAGTTTTAAAAACTCATGTCTTTGGTAATTATTGTTGGTTTATTTTTAATCTGTCTTCAATGAAGGGATGCAACTCAAAATGGAAATTTTTTAAATTCAAATAAGCAAATAAATATTAAAAAAAAAAAGAAAAAAGATTATTGAAAGAATGAAATCTGAATTGAGTTCAGATTGCTTCAACTTTGGCACAAGATCATATTTATGGAGCACCCAGTGAGAAAGAAATTCACTAATTATTTGTGAGACAAATGATACGAATTATTGCATTGTATTTTTTGTTTCTCTTTGTCTAGATTCATGTCACTGTCTTTCATCTGAGCGAGTTGGAGGTGCTTGCCCAAAGTTTTGGAGTTGGTTCTGTATTGCGTGCACAACTCAACAACATTGATGTCATTGAATTATCAGGATTCACATGGGAGGGCTTCCATCGCAAGTTTACATCATCACAAGGTAGGCACTGGGTTCTCAGACTCTGGGATTTTAGCTAAATTTCTCTTTCACAACCTTAGGAGGTATTCCAACATTTTTTCTTCCTGTAAAATATCAGAATGATGAATAGTAAGGAAGAAGTGGATTTACAACCACTTTTTTTTTTCTAAAAAGAAATGTAAGGAAATTATCAGTTTATTATTTTGGTTTAATGTCAAGGAAATCGGAATTTTCTAATGCAACTTGACATGCAGTGACATTGACAAGGTCATTGTAGAAGTCAAAAAAGTAATAAACTTGAGCACATCTTATATTTGGAATAGAGATGTTACTTTGTAGATCATGAGAGTTTATATTCTATGATGTGTCTTTGTTTATCTTTTTAGCTGTGCCAGAGCACAGTTTGATACCTACTGTCTATTTGTTATGTGATGTTCCAAAATCAAGGCATTTTGGTGAAAGTTTTCAGTGAAATCAAGGGACTTTATTCAATGATTAAACTGAGAAACCCTATCTAGGTTCCATTTCTGATGATGAGTTTGTGAGACAACTTATTCTATCTATTTTCTTTTATCTTTTTTTGGACTTAGCTGTCAGCTTAATTGACAGTTAATTTTTTTTGTAAGATCTGCAGTAACCATGTAGTATAGGATTTTTTTTACTTGGTTCTTCATTATATTTTTTACTTTCTTTTTGGGAAATGGTGACCTTTTCTTTTGGCATTTATTACAAAAATTAAGATTATTATTCTTTGCCATTTTGTTGTGTGCCCCTTTGTACAGAATCCATTTATAGGGAAGAAACAGTGATAATGACCAAAACAAAACATTTTAAAGATGGTAAGTATCTAAATTAATTCATATCCAGATGCACTCTAGAGCATTGCTGATTATTCATCTGAGAACAATCTAATCATTAAACAAATGTCAAGGATGCCTACCATGGCACAACTGCTAGTAAGCTAAACTCACAGCCCGATTCGTTTGAATAGTAAATTAAATCTTCATTGTTGCTCTAACATGGTGACTGTCCCAGATTCAGTTAGATTTAACAAAGGGCTATAAGACAATTTCCAAGTATCTGTTTCAGCTTTAAACACTCAGTGTTAAATGTCAAATCTCTTGAGTGCCAAATAGTATTAATATCCCTTGTTTGAAATTCACGCCCTTTCTTTTACTGTCTGCACAATACTATGTCTAATACCTGCTTTCCAGTGAAAGTCTTTGGGGAACCCTTGTTATTCTAATCTTGGCCTTGATTGTGCTAATTACTACACATATGCTGAAGATGTTCGAAAAAGATTTGCTTTCTCAAGTAAAAAAAGATGAGAAAAATGTCTCCAAGTTAAATCAAAATTTGTTAAAATAAGCCCAAGAGACTAAATTAACATGTAAACCTTATGCTGCAATTTGAAAATCCTTCCTTTTCTCTAGGTAATTAATTATTTAGTTTGATTTTTTTATATCTTCTGGTTCTTATTGGGAGTTGCTATTTGTAGTAAGGTTTGAAAGAACTTATGATAGAAATAAAAATACATCTGAGAAAATTACAAACTCTTGGAAATAATAAGCTGGAATTTAAAAAATATTCTGTTCATTAATTTTCCTATAAAATGTAATATTGCAAAAAGTTAAACTGACTCTTCATTTTATTCAACAGCAAAAACAGCAAATAAGTTTCATTCATTAAATTTTTCACTTTTTCTATTTTAGGTATCCAGTATGAATCAGTATCAATGTCTGACAAGCCGTTTCCTGTCAAACTGAAGTACATGATTGGATCTGGTTTGCCTGCATTGAAATATGATGTCATAGCCCAGGAGCGAGGTTTCCTGCATGTCAACCTGGCCGACATGAGGTTGACATTCCAAATGTCAACTCTGATCAACCTGGCCGATCTGTTGGAAGATGAATTGCCACCTGTTTTCATGCCACTCTATATCAACATTGAAGACCTGACCCTCACCTTGCAGGTAATTTTAATAAAGAATTAGCCCTACATTTTGAATCTCCTGAAATAATATAATTTTAAGAAAAGAAATTAAGGAGAAAGCATAGTTATGGAAGAGTTATAATAAGTCTGAGTGGTTTGGTAAGATTAAATTAGCAGCTCTCAAAAATGACCTACAGTCTGTTGTTAACTGGTGCAAGAAATAGTTTTTAATTTTATCATCTCCAAAACGGAACTTCTCTCTATCAATCACCTGAAAGAACACTTCCTGCATCCCATCAGCATTTCTGATACTAACCTCCAGGAGAGTGACTTGTCTCTTCTCATGCTGACATTCTCTGCTGACATGAAGTGGGAGGATTACATTGAATCCATTGCTAAGTCTGCTGCTAAGAAAGTTGTTTCACTAGGTTTTAATAGCCATTATTTCTCTTTAGAAGCTATCTTACATATTTATAAGTCTATCATTTGTCCATGCTTTGAATATTGCTGCCACATATGGTTGGGTGCTCATGCTACATATTTAGAGATTCTTGATAAAATCCAAAGAAGAGTCAACAATATTAATGCTTTTGGCCTTGTGTCTTGGCTTTACTCACTTTCCCACTGCCATAATGTAGCTTTCTTATGCTTTTTCTATAAATACTTTTATAGTAATTATTCGGATGAACTCTTTGCTATGGTACCTAGACTTTATGAATTTAAGCACAGTACTAAATCAGCGGTAACATCTTGTCAATTCACAATTGAATTGGCTAGATATAACCATAAGTTCTATGCTAACAGTTCGTTCTCTTGCACTTCTCACTTGTGGAACTCTCTTCCAGCTTTATACTTTCCAGCCAACTTTGATCTTCAAAAATTTAAATAGAATGTCAGTTGTTATCTTCTGTCCTCTAAATTCCTCTTTTATTGTTCTTCTAAATAATGTTTTCTTTTTCTCATATTCTCTCACATTCAGTAACTGCTTGCATCTTAATGTCTTTATAGATTAAAAAAAGAATATTGTCATTGATGTTTTTATTTTTTTATCTAGTCTTGATCTATATGAATCTGATAAATATTATCTTAAATTTTTGCAATAATTGTCATTACTTCACAAATTATTCAGACTAATATTCATATCTTTGTTGAAGAATGCTTTGACCAAATGTTTGAAGAATTTGTACAATAGCAACAATACAGGAAAAAACAGACAACCAGAAAAATTGATTAGCACAAGACTAAACTAAACATGAAGCTTTTCTAGTTAATGTGAAAGTTGTTTTCTCTGTTAATTATGTGAAGTAAGAGTTTTGAGTTTATTTTACAGGAGGATCGTCCATCAAGCAGCAGCCCAATGACTCCTCCTCCAACTGTTTTATCTTTACATCAATCAATTGTTGATCGAGGAGCTGATGGAGTCTTTCATGTTAGAGGTGAGAAAAATTTTAACTGACATTTTATACTTATATTTGAACAATTTTTATTTTTTGTTCCTATAAAGTAAAATGAAATACGGTCCAATAGTTTTGAAGCCAAACCCCATAAAAGTAACTTTATTATTGAAATTTGCATTCATTTTGAAAGTTATTTAATAATGCAAGATGTTATAAGTATGTAATGTTATATATCTGTGAAGTTGGTTTCTTCGCTAAATAAATACTTATTTTAATTAGGTTATCAACTTAGTATTTAAAAATTTACATTTTTATTATCCTTTCTGGTCATGTGAACCTTTTATGGATAAAGGGAAGTAACTACAGTAAACTATTTTCAGATTTTCCAACCAATAGTCAATTCATAAAACAATTTTATTATATTTTAATTTTTATGTCCAATGGACAAAAATTTCTCAAATCTAATTGAAAGTGGATAAAATAAATGAATATGCCGAAGATTTTTTTCTTTTCTTCTGAAAAATATTTCAGATGCATGAAACAAAAACTAAACTTATTTGGCAGTTTTTTTTTGCATTCTAAAATTTCATAAACAAAAACGTTTCTCATGAAGCAATTTAAGATAAAACCTAATTTTATTGGATTTTAATCCAATTGACTTAATTTGGATTTCCAAACTGTAGCAGTGACAGTCTGTTTCATACTTAAATGCAATCATCATGGTCTGATGATTGCATTTAAGCATGAAATAGACTGTCACCACTGGGTGTTGACCTCAATGTCCACTTTTATATTGACATATTCTCTATCCCTGATATTGAGAACTTTAACCCATAAATATAACATACTTTAAAATTCTATTTTATCACAGACACACGGGTAGGACATTAAATACAATAAGCCTACAACATATCTGTTTATACCTAGGAATGTGCCGTCAGGAAAACTAATATTGTTTTTCTATACAAACGATCTATTGGAAAAAAATAAACACCTTTAAACTACCAACAAAAATCATAATCCACAAACTGTTTACACAAAATGCTATGCCTAAACTACCTGTCCATACCATACAAAAATACCTATAAAATTGCAATATATAAAGCACATATTTACGAAAACTGATTCTCAAAAACTACAACTCCCCCTCAATGGGGCCATCTTTACTTATCGGCAGAAACATTTTTTTTAAATTTTATTTGTGACACGGCTTTGCTGGGATCTAAACAATACTGCAAATAGCTGACAACAATCTGATCTTTGCCAGCTGTGTGATCAATCAACAGAACATGGACAGAGCAACAGTTTAGACTAGTCACACTAACTTAACGACCAGTAGCAACATTTGACCAAACACTGACCAGCAGATAATTTTACACAGAAATCTTATCTAAAAACCCTTGACCCCATTCACCATGCAGGATTAAGACTGGGTTGGGGTGTCTTCATATCACTCATAGAAAGTTTATACACTGAAGCCCATGAGACACTGTTAAAATTGAGACAAGAAAAACTGGCATTACAATATTATCTAAATCTCAAATCTTGCCCAACTAACTCTGCTTACCATGTGTCTTTAACCTTGAATACAAAAATCCATTTACATCGAAAATCTCATCAGTGAAATTCGAATAAATCCAACACTAATTCATGAAACCACAAAACTCAAAAAATTCACTCTGGTTAATGAAACATCCTATGATACTGTTAAACCTTACTAAATATCCTAAAATTAATTCTAACTTATCTGATTACATGGAAGAAATGCATAATGTTCTACAAGCTCACCCAAATCATAATCATATATACACTGATGGACAGTGTTGGATGCTCTGCTAACCATAACAACATAACAATGCAGAAAAGTTTGCCTGACAAAGCTTCAGTCTTCAGTGCAGAAGCCTCAGCCACACACTTGGCTTTAGATATAAAATCCAATGAGTCAGATAGATTCATTTTCTCATCTTCACTATCTGTACTCACAGCATTGAATAATAAAAACATGGGAAACGCATTAATAAATAAATTACTAAATAGTATTGACACTATTTAGAAGAAAAAAAGATGCTGTAACAGTCTTATGCTGGATACTGCATACTAGGAAAAGGAAAAACTGACAAAATTGCTGAACACGGCCCTCTCAAATGTAATGGTTCCACACACATACTGACTTCTGACTCCCCATAAACAAAACCATTAAAGAAAAATGGCAGCAATTATGGAACAACTGTCAAAAAAAAAAAATTACTCAACATTCAACCCATCATTAGTGAAAGACTGTCAAATTACAAAACGATAAGGAGAGAGAAAGTGGTACTAACCAGACTCCATATAGAACATATACATAACCTATCAACATCTATGAGGAACCACAATTATGTGTCCCATGCCAGAAACCATACACTGTTAAATACATGCTACTAAATTGCTATAACTTTCAGCAACAGCAAACCTGAAATAAATCTGATAACTTAAAAGACCTATTTAAAAATACTGAGTAACATTGTAAATTTCATTAAAGGAATTGGGCTCTCCATAAAATATAAAAAAAACAAACTCTTTGCCAAACCTGCTTACCTAGATAGTATAAAATTGGTTGCAAAACAATCTACAATTCCTCCCACAAAAAAAAAAATAAATAAAGAAATTCTTCCCCTATATAATCCCCAGAAAATAACTAATTATTCACCTAAAAACCTTAAGCATTAAATGAACTAATCAATCAATCAATTTTCTCCTAATATACCTTTTTATCTAATGACTTTGCAATTATATAAATGTATTAAATAAACATCTTAAAATTGAAGTTAAATTTGAATATTACAAATTTTACTGTTGTCTTTAGTTATATTTGAAGAATTTTGTTTGAAGAGATCAAATTTTCTTTTCTATACTTTTCTTTTTGAAAAACATGTTACTGCTTTGAATATTCAGTCAGGTCTAGAAGAAGATGTAGAAATGACTGCGAACAAGTAGTTCTGTTAACATTTACTAAATAGGAAAAAAAAAAGTTAATTTTATACCTTTAGGTAGGTATGTCCACTTTTTTGCTTAAAAAAAAAAAAAAGGCCCCAAACTTAATAAAAACAAAATTTTATTGCGAAAAAGTTTGTTATTAATAAGAGGAGAGACCAAAGTATTTTTTAAAATTTTTATTCCTTTTTAGCACGTTTGAAATTTGTTTGACTTTTTTTTCTTTTTTTTTTTTAAGTCAGAGGTTACCTTTTAGGTCTAACAGACTGGGTAAGACATTTATTCATTTTAAGGAAATTTTTTGATTCCCCTCCCCAAAACTGAAGTGTAAGACCACTCTGTTTATTAATTTTGCACTTTTTAACACTTGAAATGATTTTTTTCTGCTCCTCACTTACAAGAACTCCATTTATTGTATAATGAGAAAAATTCTGACCCCCACAATTATGACCACTTCTTGTATTCAGTATCTAAGTATAAATTGTTTTTGTAATCTTTAAATCACTAACTTAAACATTTGCTTTCTGCCATTGCTCTGAAGCTTAGAAAACAAACTTTTTGTTTGTAGAGATTTTTTTTTTTTTTGTATTTTTAATTTTTTTTTTTATTTTAACTTCAGGTGCCAATAAGATTCCTGTAAAAATTGGGGCGAATGAAGATAAAACAGACAAAGTGGAAGAGAAAACTCCTGCTGCTTCTCACTCTGCTGCAATTTCAAACAGCAATCGTATTATTGAACAATTATGGAGGCGAAATATAGAACTTGAGAAGAACATGGAAGAAACGAAGAATGAAGCCTCACAAAAGTTGGAACAACTCCGGGCCGAGTTGGTTTGTTTGCAGACTGAAAACGAACAACTTAAGCATGTGTCGGAAAAATATTTCTCTCTGTCTGATCGTGTGGAACATGTTGAGTCAATCGAACGTGAGAATCTTAAGTTACTTGAGAGGATTTCATATTTGGAAGAAGAGGTGCAAACTTCAAATAAAGAGAAAGACTCGTTGCTGGCTACAATGCATTTATTACAAGAGGAGTTGTTAGTTTCCGAACAACAACGGTCAGTAATCCAGCAACAAATGCCAAGCCCCAATCAATAGGCAGATAGTTACTTCCCTTGATTCGTATTTTAAAGACATCCAACGACAATGAACTGCTTTAGTTACCTTTTTGGTGATTAAAAAAGCCACAATAATGGGGTCTACTGTCTGTAGTCCTGTCTTGCTTTTCTCTCTTCAGAACTACCGTGTCTTTAATTACCTACTATAGATGCGCCTTTAGCCTTTAATGGAATCTGAAAATTTAAAAGAAAAAAAAATACAGACATTCAGTTCTAAATGGAAATGTTTTGGAAGATTTTTTCCCCTTTGGAAGCCACATGACTAAGAATTATGACAGATGATTATTGTAAAAGTGACTAAAATATTAAAAATGCAAACGTAAATTATAGGAAGATTTATTTGCAGATCAGAGAAAATGATGATTTTTCTTATGATTTCTTTTGATGCTTTTTCTGAAAACTAACAAAATGCTTTCAAACCTAAGCATGTATTTTTTTTTAAATCAACAATGAGAGAGAAAAAAACAAAAAAAAATCTTTTTTCCAATTCTTTAGCAAAAGTCTCAACATTCTGAATGTGTTAAAGGAAAGGAAAGAACTTTTCTTTTTTGTTTAATTTGCTCTTTGTTTTGTTTTGTTTGAGAGAAAATCTTTTTATCTTTTGGTTTTATTTTTCCCCTTCCCCCATAGGAGAAAAAATATATTTTTAACCATTTTTTTCCTCCTGTTTACTTGTTATTTCTGTTTATTTTTTATTTTGTTTAAGGAAAGTTTTCAAATTCCATCAATTAATGAAGGTTGGAAATTTGCCAATTGAAAAACATTTTTCATTTGTTATAAAGTTGACTTCCATTTAACATAACAAAAAAATAAGAAGCTCTTTTGTGATTCAGTGAATCTACTGTGTGTATGTACACTAGGAGAGATAGAAAAAAGAAAAGCAGCTGAACCAATCAACGAGACTTTATTACAATAGTCAATCAACCAGAACTACTTGTTCATGTCATGAACAAAAAAAATTACAGGTGACAGAAAACATTTTTTTTTCTTCTATTTGCTGCTTATTGAAAGAGACAATCCACATGTTCAGTAGAAAAAGAAAAATTGCGCGCTTACAAATTCTTAATGGACAGCAACTGAATCATAAAATGCATTGCAGCTGGTTCTTCAGTTTTTTGGCTTTTTTTAAGTTAATGGAAATCAACATGTGACTGCATAATATATATATATATATATATATATATATATATTATACTTTCTATAATTCTCATCCAATAATTCTTATAAAGAAAAACTATAAATGAAACAGTCTTCATCAATGAAAAGTTAAGTTTGAGTGCAGGACTTAGTGTGGGTCATTACAAAAATTTATCTCTGCATGGCCGATCAATAGAACTGTCATTGTGTGAAGGACAAATAAGAAAAAAGAACATTCAGATGGGATGCATGTGTGCGTGGATGTTTGCTAAATGTTGTAAATAAATGTTGATAATGTACAAATCTGTATACATAGAAAAATGTAGAAACAGGCATTTGTGCATACAGTTATTTCTGTAAGAACTTTTTTCTTTTAATGGTTGGATGTAGGATGTGTATTAAATACAGTGTTGATGTGCATTTCCTATAATAGTTTGGAGTTTGTGTAGATGTGTGTGTGTGTCCATAAATAATAAAATGTTTTATATATTTATCTCTTACCCCTTCTTCCCCGTTCCAACAAAAGCCACCAGGTTTCCATTGAAGGTAAAATTCTCTCTGTGATTTTAGACTACTAATTTAAGAGACCTTAATCTCTCCCCTGACTATTCTGCTAGGGTAAGTCATGAATGTTTGTATCAGTTTGTTTGTAACTGCTACTAATTCCATGTAGAAATTGTCCCTAAATTCAAATATTTAGTGTCTGCTTTGTAGCTGAGATAGTTGATTATTTCTCTGCCATTTACCAATGGTCAGTGTTCAAGCTCAGCTAAAAGCCAACATTTTAAATGCTGATTTACAAGGCAGGCCATATATCTATTTGGATTGAAAAGTGCAAAACTATTTCCTATCCCTCCTCTGTTTTTTCTCCTCACATTTGGCCTTGTGCCAGACTAAAGTAAGCTTGATTAAATATTAACATCCATTCATGCAGGAAGATCCATTTGGTGAGATCTGAATTCTTCAGTTGATTTGATAATTACTGACTTTAGTTTGCATTCGCAACTTTTTGTGTTTGTGAGAGAAAGCAAAAAAACAAAACAAAAAATTTTTTTTCTGCCAAATTCCTCAAACTTTCTAAGTAATAATAATAATAAAAAAAAAAAAAAAAAAATTATGTTTAGGGGACCTGGACATAACTGGGTGGGGAGTGTGATTGTGGGTATGTGCAATGAACTCTGAGTTTTTTTTTAAACCCTCCCTCCTCAGGGCGAGCTAATTGTTGGCCACTATTTATCATTCCCTCCCTGACAAAGGCCATAATTTGGAAGCCCCTCCTCTCCTCATTCATCATTGTGACCTTTGTTTTCATTTTGTTATGAAAGTTATCTATTCTCAATACGGTAGGGGTTGATTCAGACCATAGTAGTGTTTTTTTTTTTTTAGGTAACTGACAAAAATGATTTTACTATAGGAAAATGTGTGTGTATATATATATATATATATATATATATATATATATATATGTGTGTGTGTGGTGCTTATAGCAACCACCATGACAGCAGTTCTTAGCCAAATGTGATATTAATTTTAGCATATTTTTTTTCCTTTTTTTGTCAGTGACAAGCAAGTGTTAGTGTAATTGGCTTTTTATTTTCTTATCCTTTTTCTCCCCCTGACCAACTTGTTAAGTGCACTGGGTGTTCTAACAAACTAGAAATCAATTCCCACAAATTGTATGGGTTTTGGCTGTGCAATATAAGTAAGAAATTCTAGACATTTGATTCCCTCCCTTATAAAAAAAAAAATCCTCTAGCTTCTTTATCCTGCCCAAACTAACCTAGACCATGATTTTTTTCTTTGCATAAGAGAGAGAAAAACAACACACACACACACACACAGATATAAATTGGGGGAAAAATTATATAATAAAAAAATTTCTTAAAAACGTTTGTGTGCATGTGTGTGTGTTTGTATGTATACATGTGTCACTACACAATGTTCACTTAAAAAGAAATCCCACACCATCCTTGAGTTTAAAATGGTTGACTTCTTTAGAGATGGCCAACTTTATAACTCTTCTTTGTGCCATTGGATATGTTGAAAGCACTTACAACCAGATCTCCTCCCAGCAGCAGCTGCTGTGGAGCCCAGAAAGAAAATTCAATAAATATTTTTTAAAATTCTTTAATGCTTTGCCTTCTTCTTTTTTTCCAAATATATTTACGTGATATATTCAAGGATTTCATTTTCTGAGAGACATACTTCTTGGTTTCAAAATTTGTATAGGATAATAAGACATTTTCCTGTCTTCTTCAGTATAAAATTCTTTACTAGTGACAAAGAAAAATAGCTTTGTCACCCTCCTCAAAAGAATAGTCAAAAATTACAAACACATTTGCTAGAGATAAATATCCTTTTGTATTATTGATTATTTAGACTAGTATCCTCACATTTGTTGTTTTGATCACTACATTTCAGTTTATAGGCTATCTGGCCTTCTTCACTCAACTCTAATAATGATCAAACATTTATTACTCTCAGATTTTACTTCCTACCTGGCCAAAGAAGAGAAATCTAGCACTTGATGAGCATGGAAGTGGAAAGAAAATAATTACAAGAAGGAAGCTGCTGAGCCCAGCAGGCAAAGTGTAGTAATCAAAATAGCAAAGATGTGGATGATAGTGTGAATGATGCATGAAATGAAGAAAATACTCAAGACTTCACACAACATTAGGAAGTCTGGGGGTGGCATTACTTAACCAGCCCAAATTTAGCAATTGATGCACAAAGAATGTGAGGATATTCGTGTAAGATAAGTCTTCAAGTCAGTCTCAAATTTTCAAAGCTGCAATTTTCACTTTACAATAAAGTGATTATCAAAAAAAGAATGTAATTTTAAATTTTGGTAGAAATTCTCATTCTATGGAAATTTCTAATTATTCTATAGTTGAAATAGGGAAATTTTCCTCAAACTTAGATTTTTTTTTTCTACTCTGATCAATAAATGGTTATGGTTATATTAGCCATTTTCTTATAAGGAAATATTTGACATTCATTGATCAAGCAGCCAGTGAAATTTATAAAATCTTTCTATAAAAACAATTTTTCAGGAAAATAAGTTTCTCAAGTTCTCTTGGTTTTGTAGTAACTTGTGGTGTTGGGAAAAACTACCCCTAGCACAGCCTGTGTTCAATTTCCTTTTTTCTGATACTAAATTTGTCAGAACTGATCCAAAGTATCTAAAGTGTTTAGTATTTACTGACCCCACATCCTGAATTTTTGATGGATTCAGGATATGTGCAATCATAGTTTCTCTTTTGGAAAGGTTGATTTTGATTCCTATTTCTTGGAACACTTGGTAAATTTTTTTTTAGTTCAAGATCATTCTTATCTCAAAGGAGTAGATAGGTTTGCCTATTGTCCAATTCACACTCCTCCTATGAAAAAAAAAAACTATGAATACCTGTAGTTAGAGTTAAAATATGTCTCCATGTTTTCTTTAAGACCAGGACATTTCTTCTGTTCTAGTTTCAATTGCATGATTTTATTGTGAATTTTTACTTTTCTTCATATTTCAACACATAGTCTATGCTGTTTGACTTCTTTAATTTTCTGGAGATATTGTTTTTTCAGAGCATGAATTAGTTTATTATTTTCTTTGTTGTTTTGTATTCTTCTTTTCATTTTTCTTTCTCTTCCGTTTGTCTCTTTCTTCTACTAATCTTTTCAAATGAGGATTGTCATCCCACAAGAGTATCTTTTTCCATTTTGGTATTGTTTGAATGGTCTCATGTGCTTTGGATAATGAAGATATGATTACATTATTTGATTCCTCTATGTTGTTTTGGTCAAGATTTAGGGATATCAATTTGGACTCTAGTTTATCACAGAATGTTGTCA